CAGCAGCAACAGCAGCAGCAACAGCAGCAGCAACAGCAGCAGGCTGTAACAAAAGCGTCTCACGCTACAATTAGTAAGAAAGTAATAGAAAATTTAGATAGCTCTAACGCCTCTGCTGATATTTCCAATCGTGAAGAAAGCAAACCTCCGATCGTACTGAGAATATGCAAAGGTACGGCACGATTGGTTTGCGGAGATGTGCAGCAGGATACTCAGGAGCCTGAGACCGATACCTACAGAATTTCCACACCCCTCGCTAGTCCCTCTAAGGTGGACGTTGAACGTAGGACCATCAATACGGAGACGTCGCTCAAGTCAGATCATAGTAGATCTTTACGCGCGCATCAACCTATCGTCTCGACCGTGTCGATTCCCCTGGAGAATTCGGATATGAGAAGAACCACGCGCAGCCGTGCGAAGAATCTGCACTTGGACCTAACAGCAACGACCTCCGTCGTGGCACCGTCGACGACACCGGTGACTCCCAACTCGCACGGTTCCGGCCTTTCCCTGACACTGAGAAAATCCGTGACGGATTCCAACAATACACTTATATCTCACTATGACATTGTTAAGACTGACTGCAGCTCAACATATTCCTCAAAACCGACGATTGAGCCGTTGATTGGACGCGATCAGCCACTGCCAACCACGACCCAAGAGCTGATCGACATACTTTCGAGCGATTCCGACACGAGGCCACCACCAGCACCACCATCGCCATCACCACCACCGCCCCCATCATCGCCACCACCGGTCGTCAACGTCGATGCGGAAAACGCCACCGAAATAACAGAACCGGAAAGCGCCGCGAACCAAGTTCAACATTGCTCCATAGATATCCCGACCAATGAAATCACGGATGAACCCGTTGCAGTCGCGCAACAACTCGAGCCGGAACTGGAGGCGGAACCTGATCTCGAATCAGAACCGGAACCGCCGGCTCGCGGAACAACCGACGCTCCCGCCGAGATCGCCGCCGCCGCCAAGACTCTGGTGGATCAGGACTGGTTTTCGGGAAGTGACGATAGTGAAGGTGCTAGTGGGAACGCCGAAAGTGAAATACCGCTGCACGTGACGAGTACAGTTTCGGAATCACAGGTCTCAGATCCACCGTCGACGAGCGTCCCATCAGCCAAGCCCACCACCGCCAAGAAGGGCAGTATCTTTAAGAGCCGTTCGACGGGTACGACGAATGGGAATAAGAGACGTGCGTTGTACAAGCACAAGTGGTGTGACAGTGACAAGGAATCGACTGCTACGGATGCGCCTAACACGGGCAACAGCACACCGACCATCGCGTCCGGCTCCAGCAGCGCGGGACCTGTAACTTACGAGGAAGAATTTGATCCGTCGCAGTTGACGAGAGTCGTGACTTATCCTTCGGCCGATGCGGACTTTGAGGACGAGGCTGACGCAATCACGAGTATTCGTTGTGGTAAAAAAGTTAAAGGGGTGAGCACACTATGTACAATACAATAATTGCATCATTATAAAATGTCGCCTCCTTTCTCGTGATTTATTATAAAAAGTTTCTCGGTAATTAAATTTTTGTAAGTTTGCTCGATTATGTGATGAGTTATCATCATTTCCAATTATCTGCCGACATATGTATATATAATTACACACACACACACACATTATTAACAATCAATACATACCTATTTACCTTCTATTTGCAGTTTTATACCGTAGTAAAGAATGTAAAGAAAGCTCATCAAATACAAGAGAGTGGAGAATTCCAAGAGTTTAATGACGATGTGGAATATATCTTGGACACTTTAAGAGAAAATAATCCAAATGCTACTCGTTGCCTTTCAGCCATACGATTAGCAAGTAAATGTATGGCTCCTGCATTTCGTATGCATGTGCGTGCTCATGGAACTGTTGCCAAGTTTTTTAAAGCTCTTCATGATGCAACTAAAGATCAGGTATAGATGCATATAACAAAATTCTATTCACTCTCCTATGTACACATTATATTGTATTAAAAACTTTTTATTGTAAGAATAATTTGTCCTAAGAGGATTTATATAGCACAAATGTTATTATCTTTGCAGAGTCTTGGTCTGTGCACAGCAACGGTAATGTTTGTCTTAAGTCAAGATCGCCTAGCTATGGATCTAGATCGTGATTGTTTGGAATTAATGTTGAGTCTATTAGAATCTGATGCCAGCCATAAGGATGCTCTTGACGACTGTGGTCTCAGTCATGCCGAATTATTGAAGAATAAAGAGAAAGTTCGTCAGTTATGCGCTGATATACAAGCTCAAGGACATGCTAAGCATCTCAATCTAGATAATATTACTGTAAGCAATTTTTACGCACATATAATTAATTTTTCTTTACATTAATGTTTATACTTTTGTATTTTTATTTTTCTGAATAATTCCTAATACATTTTTAACAGGTTGGTCAGCTAGCTATGGAGACACTCCTGAGTCTTACATCAAAGCGCGCTGGAGAATGGTTTAAAGAAGAACTACGAGAACTAGGTGGCTTGGAACATATTGTAAAGACAATTCGAGAATGCCACCGTCATATTAACGGTCAGAATGTCTTAAGATCTGGCTGGACAGATCCTTTATTAGACAAATTACGTAAAGTTGACAGATGTTTACGCGTATTAGAAAATGTAAGTAATGTTTTTTCGTCTTTTTTTTCCATATTGCGCGCGTCGTGTTACAAAAACGAAAAATGGTTAAATATCGCGACCTTTTTTCTCGCAGGTAACTCATATGAACGAAGAGAATCAAGTGTATTTATTGAAATATGAAGAAGGAATATTAGTAAGCACATTAGCTAGTTTATATCACTTATGTGGACAAGAGATTCCCATTTATCCCACAACAGATCCAAGCGACAAAAGTTCAACTGGTGCCGTTGTTAGAGAATGTCTCTTTGCGATTATTAAAGTTCTCATCAATCTTACCCATCGATTTAATGGACAATGTAAGACTTTTCTACTTTTCGATATATTATTCACGAATTTATTGATAAAGGCAATCACAAAGTTGCAATCGTTGAAAAATTTCTGAAATAATATGTATTTCTTATATAGCTTTCGGAAGCAAATCAGTTGGCGCACAAGTTGGCGTTTTGGACTGCAGTTTGTTTCTTTTGTTACGTGTGCCTGAATCACTTCCGGAAGAAAAGCGATTTGACATGATGGTGCTGGCATTGATTCTATTGATAAATTTAGTGGAGCAATGCGACGATAATAAGGAACTGCTTATTGAATCGAAAACACCTTCATCGACAGAAAATATTTTCGATGGTACATATTTTCAATCTACAGTTTCTCAAATGTAATAGATGTGGATCGTGAGTATATTCTTTTCTCGTTTTTGTATTTTAGCGGATGAAAGCGGTGTAGGGTCTTTGATCGATTTGTTCTACAAGCAAGAGGAACTTGCGCGTGCCGAGGAACAAAAAACTGATGCCATCTTAGATGGAAAGAAAGATTCTGAACAAATAGAAACGGTATCAACTACTACTAAAACTCAGGAAGAATTTATTGAAGAGACCGTTACAAAATGTTTGTATTACATTTGCAATTCGCGTGTACATATTTACACAATTTGTGATAACTGCGAAATTGTTATTTCAGTGTTGCAAAAAGCTGGACGACATATGGAGCACACATTGATCGCAGCATATGTAGTTCTTTTGCTTGGATACTTAATAATGGATAATAAGGTAAAAATAAAACACTACTGTAATGGAAAAGCATATTTAATAATTTGATGTGCTAGATTTTTACGTGTCTTATCTGATTATACGTCTGCGTGTAAAGAAAAGGTGCTTTAAGCTTTACACACACACACACACACACACACACACACACACACACACACACACACACACACACACACACACACATATTTTTGTTTGTTTGTTTATTATTAAATTCTTTTTACCTTTTCCAGGAATATGAGTCATTGGTGCGAAGTAGACTACCGGACAAGAATTTCGCCACTATGGTATCTGTACTTCAAAAGTTCTTCAATTTTATGAATTTAACGGCATCGGTAATTATCTTTTGGAAAATATTTTGCACTATTTTACTTGAGAAAAAATATAACGTAGCTTTGATCTTTTACCATACGCATTTGTTTCAGCAGAACGAAGTGAGTAGTTACGGAATTGCTGCTACCGAAAAGGTGATTAAGTTCCTAAAAATGTCCGATGCCAGAATCGAGGAAGAGAAGAATGAGTTACCATTGCCAGCATTAGAAGACACCAATACAATGCTTGACTTAACTTCATCTTGATCGATATGTTTTGCACGCACCTGACAGCATTTTCTTTTTCACCTGGCGTATGCGAAGAGCCAAAGTTGTATTTGTCCAACAGAAAACAAATTCTTTTCACGATGTGGATGGACTTGTTTCATATTCATGTATTTTGATACATATTTATTCACTTACATAATTTATTGTTGTAGGTTTCATTATCATTATTGACTTATTTCCTTATTTACAATGAAAATTAGTTATATTCTATAATAGTTTTAAGAATAAAATAATACTTTTAAATTGTATAGGAACACATCTCATAAGGACAATTGCAGGGCACTTATCGCGATTATTGTTACTGTCTACACGATATCACTAATGATTGAAGCTAAACAATTAGTTTTTTTTTTTAAAGTTGAAAGACTATCAAGAAGAATAACGTGATTCAGTCAACTTCTTGTCAGTCTAAACGATTTATTTTCTCTGTTTGATCGTAACATTGTACAATCAATTTTTAAAATTATATCTATTGTTTTAAAACCTGTTAAGTGGTCGACAGCATTAGGATACATTGTGACCCGCTAAAATTCATCATAGCATTATGTAAGTTTATTTTAATATTCAACTTCTATTATGATATAAGCCTTGTAAATGTAAATTTATAAATTATAATTGTACCTTATATCTGCAGTTTTGAATCATTGGATTTCCCATTTGCGAGTGTATGTATAAGATGATTATTATATTACATTATGCCACAATGCAAAGTATGACAAACATTCTGGTCTATACAATAAAATTTAAAAAAATGAGGTAATTAATATGTTGTTACATTTATAAAAATTAAATCGCTAAAAGTGCATATGGAGAGTCTATAAAATAAAATACTTTTTTTAAACATACTTTAGATATGTTATATTTGCCCTGTTTATGTATGGTCAATTGTAATGTAATCATATCGAGAGACAAAAATAGCTTTATCAATTTTTGACAACTATTAAAATATATGAATTTTATTTCTTTTAATGTATTCATTACTAAAATAATATATTAATATATTTACAGCAATTATTGCTCAAATAAAAGTAGCTCTACAAATATACAACGATTACTTCCCAGACAACACGCACGTTTTAAAGCATTTGAAAGACGTCTGGAAAAAAATGACGTCCTTTGGACGTCTTTCAGATGCTTTAAGACATAGCGTTATGTGGGATTATTTGTTTATTTTTAATAAAATTAATATAAAAAACCAAAAATTATGCTTTGAAAATATACATTTAAAGACATAATTTATATGAATTTTATTCATAATAATATAATTATTTTATTAAATAACAAATTTTACATTAATAAACTTGTTAATAATTTATTTCAGTGTATTATTTTCGAAAATAATATATGTACACAAAAAGATTTTTATCAGATGGAACATGTTGCACAGTTGCAAGAATACAAAAATATATGATACCGTATGGTATCTATGGCATGGTACTATTAAGGCCATGCCCCGTCGCCAGTCGCGAAGAACAGCAACTACTAATTGAAAAGCGCTATTTTTAGTTATTTCTGGAGCATGCTAGTGCTAAGACGGAGCATGCTAGTGCATGCCAACCGAAGTCTCTAAAATTTTTACATTGGAGTATAGCCATATAAACTTGCATAGGCAAATGGATCAATCTTTTATGCATATGTTTATGCACTATGCAAGTTTGCTGGATATACCCTTAGACATCAGAGTCTCAAACATCGGCTGCAGTATGAATCATCCATAATAAGAAACTGTTTTGTAAATATCGTGCAAGGAATATAAAGGGATTTTTTTACATCGTGCGCTTGCGTCGACGCTGCCGATGCGACCGAGGCGCGACGAATGAGGTTCGGACGGCGTTATCGCTTACGGTAGCACTGTGATGTAATGTTACGTGCGTAATGTTGAGGCATATTGACACCGGCGACACGGTAGTGGCAGCAACAGCAGCAATTGTTACGAACGTGGTGCACATTTGAGCGTCATGAATGCGGAGATATCGCCGAAAAGAATTGTCTGACGACTGCCGTACGCAATTTATCGCTCGAAAAACTTGTGACGACTTCTCTATGTTGCACCGCTCCTGTTTCGCGCGTTGTTCCGCGAGAACGATCAACGACAACGTGATGACGACAACGACGACAACGACGACGACGATGACGACGACGACGACGACGACGACGACAACGACGACGATGTCGATGTCGCGCGACAACCACACGCGTGTATCTCGACAGTGAGATCTTCGGCAACGGTGCACGACGATGATGTTGATGGCAACGCAAGGGCAACGCAACGACCGAGCGCAACGTGGAACTGTCGTCGCTGTTTGAATCGTACATCGCGAATTGTGTTTATACTCCGACTCTGACGGGGTCGTCGTCGAACCGTGATCCACTGGATGTAAAACAATCCTAGGCGTAATGGCAGCTCACAAAACAGGCGGGCAGAGTGCTCGTAAGAAAGTTCAGGTACAATAGATCGACATTTTCTCTCCCGATTCGATTCCTGACGATGCGAGGTAATTCCTGACGAGCACCGCCGTGCTGAGGACGGAATCGCGCCTTAATGTTTCCACGAGCGCAAAGTCATCGCGATGTTACGTTTATACGAATGTCTTGAAAATCTGTTAGAATTTTATAGAATTATATGATAATACATTGTATAATAAGATAATCGCTTGCTTCCTGCGCGTTAAGAGTTGTACTGTCATGCTGAAAAATTGACGCCTGATCGTTCATCAGAATGAATTAAATGTGTTTATTATCCTCATTTTTCTCTTATATTAAGTTAGACATTTTACAAAAATTGTTTCTCGAACATGAATAGTGATGAGAGAAATATTGAATCTCGAATGTGAGAGGAGCTATATTAATTTGCAATTAAATAATTTTTTACAAAGGTGTCTATGGTTATAAGAGACGAAGTAGAGAAGCAGCATCGAGCTGGTGTTAATTCCCTGCAATATGACCCAGTTCTGCATAGGCTATATTCTGCTGGTAGAGACAGCATCATAAGGATATGGAATTGCAGAAATATGAAGGAACCGTATATCCAATCCATGGAACATCATACCGATTGGGTCAATGACATAGTATTATGTTGTGGTGGCAAAAATCGTATGTGCACACTTCTGGGGATTATAAATTTTCCAACATGATATATTATTACTTAATTCTTAATTCTTTGTGAATTATTGTACTGTGCAGTTATATCCGCAAGTTCTGACACAACTGTTAAAGTGTGGAATGCACATAAAGGTTTTTGCATGTCCACATTGCGTACACACAAAGATTACGTGAAAGCATTAGCATATGCCAAAGATAGAGAGCAAGTTGCTAGTGCAGGTTTGGATAAATCGATATTTCTATGGGATGTTAATACATTGACGGCTCTTACTGCGAGTAATAACACAGTGACAAGTATGTATTTGTGACAATGTCCAGCACTTTATTTCTCTCATTGATATTTGTTTAACATGTTGAATTATATTGCAGCATCATCCTTGAGTGGGAACAGAGATTCCATATACAGCCTCGCCATGAATCAAACCGGCACGATTATTGTAAGCGGTAGCACGGAGAAAGTTCTTCGAGTGTGGGATCCACGATTTTGTACCAAACTTATGAAACTTCGTGGCCACACAGACAATATTAAAGCGTTAGTCTTGAATAAGGACGGTACGCAATGCTTATCAGCGAGTTCTGATGGTACTATCAAATTATGGTCACTCGGTCAGCAAAGATGTGTGCAAACGTTTAGAGTTCACAAAGAAGGAGTGTGGGCGTTATTGGTAATTATACAGTTCTTTATTATTAATGTAATTGTTGTAAAAAGAATGTTGCATTATAAAATTTGATGTTTTATCTTAGGCAACCGAAAATTTCACTCATGTAATATCTGGAGGAAGGGATAAAAAAGTAGTAATGACCGAATTAAGTTATGCGGAGAGATATACAGTTATCTGCGAAGAAAAGGCACCTATACTCAAGATGGCCATGACGCCGGATCAATCTAGCATTTGGGTTGCAACCAGCGAATCAACTATTAATAATTGGGTAAGTAGTCTTACATTGAGAGAGTCTTATATATGAGAGATAGAGGGGTGGGGGAGAAAGAAAATGAAATCTACATTATGAAAAAGAATATTTTGTTATTTCAGCCTATAAGCCAAAAGGATTGGCAAGAGTTAGGAATCGGAGATTATTGTGACTCCGCGACTAGTAACGTATCAAGTAATATTTTAAGGAATACCGAACCCGCGCAAAAGATACTAGGTGGTCCTGCTATAAGACATTATCATATATTGAATGACAAAAGACACGTTATAACAAAGGATACGGAAGAGAACGTTGCGCTATATGATGTACTAAAGGCGTGTAAAATAGAAGATTTAGGCAGAGTCGATTTCGAGCAGGAGTGTAAAAAGAGAAATAAAATGGTATATGTCCCAAACTGGTTCAACGTTGATCTCAAAACTGGAGTACGTATTATTTGCTGGATGAGTCGATGCTTTTCAGATTGAGAATAGCTTTTAACCATTCTTGATCATTGCAGATGTTAACCATACACTTAGGACAAGACGAGAATGATTGCTTTTCCGCGTGGGTGTCTGCCAAGGAGACTGGTTTGGCGGAAAACGATGCTGTAGATCAGAAAGGTAAGCACTTGTTTTATCAACAATACTCGCGACATTACTCTTGAGATTTAATATCCCTTTTCTGTTTTAGTGAATTATGGAAATCTGTTGTTACAAGCATTGCTCGAACACTGGTGGAGGCCACTGCACGCCGACGACGAAAACGAAGGCAATGGCAATGATGGAAACGGTCCCATACACACGAGAGGAGGCAACCCATACTTCTCAGTACCTAGTCATACGCCTGTCATCTTTAGGTACGCAAAAGAAACTGTTAAACATTTTATCAAACGGATTATCACGCGTTATTTTATGCTTTAGTGAAGTGGGAGGTAGAACCATCTACCGATTATTGGTTCGAGATGCCGCGGGAGAAACCGAGGGTGTTCTATTGAACGAAACGGTTCCACCATGGGTAGTGAATATTGTCGTGGATAAGAATCTTCCACAGTTCATTAAAATACCTTTCTATCTTCTTCCACACGCCTCTTCGGGTGTAAAGAGTTTGAAAAAGTACGTGTTTTATCTTTAGATCAACACTGCGCTGTTACGCAGTCGAATAATCTACGTGTTACTTGCTTGAAGGGATCGCTTGATCGCCAATGATTTTATACAAGTCCGCAAAGTGGCGGAGCACGTTTACGATAAAGTGCTCGGTGCAGGAAGCGATTCAGGCTCGGTAGCTGGAGGTGGCAATACGGTTTCTAGCGGATCTCCAGCGGGAGACAGAACAAATACGGATTCTAACGCTGATAATTCTTCGCTGGCCGAGGAAAAAGTCGAACTCCTGTGTAACGATCAGGTCTTGGATCCTTCGATGGATTTGAGAACGGTATGTGAACAATCGAATGAAGCCTTCGTCGTCGTTATTAAAAAAAGATGTTGTGACATGTGCTTGATTGCTTCTCAGGTTAGGCATTTCATCTGGAAAAGTTCGGCAGATTTAACACTTCATTATCGCCCTGTTAAATAGTTAGGATTAACTATATTGCATCATGAGTCTTTACAGTGTGCCTGGTTTTATACCATGGTAAGATATTTTACTCTGATATTAGTTTCTTTTTTCTCTCTTTTTTTCATTTTTATTGATCTATGTAAAAATTGTGAAACTAATCCGTTTCAGAATAGTGGAAAATACATGGGCTACTTGCAGAATATGGTACCTTGTGCCACTTTCTTCTTAGGAAATGATCACCTGGATTTAACAGATGTTTCGTGTGACGTCGAGGCAGGAGCGAAAGAAAGCGAGGCATATTTGGAGTATTAGGGCATAACACGCAAAGTTCGAAGGCAATAATATGTGGAAGTATTAATGTAAATTGCTCACTTTTATACACCTGCATCCTGCGGCCAAATTCACACAATGGAGCATTACTCTCGATTAATCTGCTTGAAAATAGCATGCTTTTTGTACCTGGATATAGAATTTAAAGTGCTTATTGTCAGCCATTACTAGTCTTCCCACTTGAAATGTATCAATAAGAGCATATGGCACAAATATAACGAAGGAAAAAGAGGGATAGACTCGCATGGCCGAAAAAAAAATATTGTTGGTTTCATTAGGTCTAATGGATCCAGGTGATCCTCACAAATGCTTCTCAAGTTTCCTTTATTAATTCTATTTTAGCTATAATGCCGTAATCAGTACGTAGGATTGTCTTGTTTTAGTATTGTAATAAAAGTATTCAATATTTATTGAAGCTATGAGAAAATGTATAATGTTTTGTTACATGCATGCATGCAAAATGTGTACTCCACACCTGCCTTGTTATATTAGAGAGCGAAGAAAAAAATATATATATATAAAAGAGAGAAGAGAGATATGTCAATTTACCATTAATCAAATTATATTTGAATAGCCAAATTAGAAGTTCAATATTTCCTATTGTTATAGGAAATAAAAGAATGTATTTATCTGCAATAAGGTCAAATTCTGTCCTGATAAAAGCTAACAAAATCTATATAAACGTAATATATATTATCAAGAAAAATTGAATTTTATATGTATAAGATTAATTCGGTGTAGATACGATTGATAATATCATAAGTACCGCAGAATATATTCAGTGTTTCGCAGGATTTGATCTTGGGAGAGATTTATAACGTATAAAAATTATGTAGTTTTTATGTTAACATATTCGATTTTTTCTAGATTCTATAAACTCTGTGTTTGTGCGTGCGCGCGCGCGCGTGTGTGTGTGTGTGTGTGTGCGCGCGCGCGCGCGCACGAGTGTATGTGTGTATAATATATATATATATATAGCTTATAGAATCTAGAAAAATATACGCGCGCGCACGTGTGTGTGTATGTGTGTACACATGAACACGACTGTGAATAATGTCCATTAATAGTAGGCCATATGAATAAAAATTTAACAAATCTCATCATGCAAACAATTCAAAGCTAACAATATTTGCTATTGCTGCAAACAGTTAAGTCGAGAAAAAATTGTACCAATTTTTATTAATATGGTCTGTGAAGTATAATAACATTTGTGTTATTAAATTGTGAGTGTATAGAAGCACACAATTTTTGTTTTTGTAAATGTAAATGTATCATTGTCATTTTAAAATACTAAGTAATGTAAATTGCAATTTTATCCATTATCATACTTGAGTTGATAAGTTTGGTCATGCTTTACACATGTTAGAAATTATTTTTGCTATTACTTATTTCCGTTTCGCATTAAAATATGTATCATTAAGCCATTCGTAAAGAAACTTCTCTTGACTCAACGAGGATATATGCGTGGCTGACAGAAAAATGTATTATTCTAGTTAAGATAGCCTTATTTGTTATCTTTATACGAGTTGTCGCAAAAGAAATTGTGCAGTGAACTTATATTTTTTAAATCGTTATAAAATTTTAAAATAATTTTGAACCAAATGTAAATGAAATCGTAAAAAAGAATATAAAAATATAGTTATTTTTTAAACTCTCAACATGACGTATTGCGAAAAGTAAGAATTGTAAATAAATTGTCTTCGATTTATAATTATTTAAATTATTTATTACTTATATATATATGTTGATATACAATGATTCTCCGTAACTAATGAATCATTCAGTTCATTGCATAGTTCTCTGAGAATGCTATACATATTAGTGTTCTTTATACAATTGTATTTCTTGTATAAATCGAGAATAATCAGTCTGCCGTTTAATTTTTTTCGTTTTGTTTGAAAGAACAGATTATTCACTTTAGAAATTCGTTACCATGTGAATAATCAAGACGTGCCTGATCATAGATCATAAGTTACAGGGGCATTTCAACTTGTATTGATATTACTTATATTGATATAACTTGTATTGATATTTAAAACAGCCCATAGTTACGAGATGACTATCATCATCGCTTCTTTTTTACATTATTGTTGACATTATAAAAATCAGAAAAAAGCTGTTACCATACTATCATCATGAGTTCTTATCATGTTCGTTTCTTTTGTAGCAGGCAACAATGAATGCCATTAAGGATGATAAATTCAGTCATGTTACTTATGCACAGAAAATTGAAGTATTAATGTTAAGAGTTAATAGTGTAAAAAATCAAAATATCAATTTCATCTTTTGCTTCGACGTTACATTGAGAATTGTGAATAATACAGTGTTTGTGACCTGTAGAAAAAGGATTAGTAAAATTGGTGCCAAATTTTATACTGAAAACAATACTCGCAGTGCACCATACTTTTTTGATGGAAAGCATTTCGTTTCTGTAAACCTGCTTCATTATTAAAGCGCAGGTCCTACAGTGGTACTACTTATGATGTAAGCTATGTAGTAACGAAAGATTTATTAAATTTATAATTTTTTAGCACGAGATTAGACTATAATATCGTCTCTAGAAAAAAATTGAATTGTCGTCATTGCTTTGTACAATAGGTCTTACCGTTTTGACGTGAGATATTAAACCTTCCAATGTCAAACTAAACAAGTCAAATTTTCTACAGTTTTCTACCAGCGTGCAACGAGACGATATTTCTATCCTCCTCGAATAATAATACTTTCATGATTATCTGATTACCTTTGTAATACACTATCATTGATATTACCTCGATTAATTGGAAATAATATCAATTAAGGCAGAACAATATATAAAATCTCCATATCAGGAAAGGATTGGCGTTAATTTCTACTATTTGTATTTATCATCTATTTTACAACAGTATCTCACACTCCAGACTATGTACATTATAAAAAATAATCAGTATTTAAATAAAATATATAATTTACTATAGAAAAGATTTTGCATTGTCTATGCAGCAATGTTTGAATAAAAAATTTAATTACTACTTGTTCAGTGATTTTGTCAACCACAATTCTTCAAATAATTTCATCGAGAATACTTTCAACGGCTTGTACAAAAGAAGTACATACTTTTACCGGTCTCGGAGTAATCATATTCTCATCGCCAGCTCTATATTTGCCAGTTTGTACCAGTATACTTCTGATTCCAGCTGCCTGCGCACCAGCTACGTCGTCCTTTATATCCTAATTACAAGTTTACGTTTGATTACATTATAAGAGAGAATTACAATAATACTAGAAAGAAAATATTTGAAATATTACATCTCCAATCATTACAGCCTGTGCTGGATCTACATCACCTAGAGCTGCTTTGAAAAATTCTTTGGTCGGTTTACCAACAACTTCTGCTTTCACATTGCTGGAATATTCTAAGCCTTTGATGAATGCACCAGGACCTAGAGCTAGACCGTCAGGACGTTTGTAATATCGTCCTTCGTGAATAGCTATGAGTAATGCGCCATCCAACAGCAATCTAAAATAACATATCTGTGCTTTACTTATATAAGATAGCGATAAAAGGAAGAAGGTGAGATTACCTAAACGCTTTGTTTAATTCTTCGTAATTGAATTTGCTCGGTGCTAAACCAACTACTACTGCATTAGGTGTCTCGTTCGTTACTAAATCTTGAAAATCTTCCATTGCTGCTGGATCAATTAATAGCATTGGCTTCAACTGCTGTGAGACAATTAGTTTCCTAGCTGCAGCTAGTGAACTGAATATTTCTTCCTTCCGCAAGTCAAATCCTAGTTTTATCAGACGCTCGTATAAGCAATTATTTGACTCTTTGGTGGTGTTGGTGACAAATTTGATTGACATATTTGCATTTCGTAATCTAGATTATAAAAATTTAAATTAATCTTTTGTTCTTAATTATTCACAACTTAAAAAATGTGTTGTTGATATACCCCAAAATATTTTGATTGAACAAAAGTCGTTTCTAAAATAGTCAAAAAACTGTTGTTAAATAACAGATTTTTCTTTCTCAAAAGATCTTTATTTTGCGAAATTGTATAAAATAAAAATTAATTACCAAATTCTGGCGTGAAGCTTAAAATTGAATCGCGCCATTTTATAGAGATTGCGTTGTAACCTGTTGTAGCCGGTATATACACTTGCAATCACGCAAAACATTGCAATTAAGAGTGCTTAAAAAGATAAAGAAAAATACCTGCTTAACGCTTGCACAGCGCCTGGAATCACTGTGTTATCGATATGCAATGTTCCGCTCAAGTCTATTAATACTGTCGTAATTTGTTTTGCCATCATTACTAATCATTACTGTTTTTCCACAAGTACTATACATTCGCCATTTCACACGAGATAAATCTCTATATAAATCTGTCAAAAAACATTACGTTTTTACAAACTTCGAATCTATTACATGTTTCATCAGCTTACTGGGACCATAAAGAACAGACTTTCCGTCATGCAAATGAGTCCGAGAAATCAAGTGTAGTATCAGGTAGGTATATAACATATGTATTAGGTCTGTTCTTTATAGCTGAACTGGCTGCATTAGTTCAGAGTTTATCTTTTTCTCTTCACATTGAAAAGAGAAAGATAAACTCTGAACTAGTGCAGCCAGTTCAGCTATAAAGAACAAACCTCTTATGTGTGTGTCAAGTGTTAAAACCAGTGTAAAGCACGTGGTGAAACCAAATATGGCGCTGTCCACGAAGCGCGATGATATAAAGCAAGTGCCGTGGTTTTCTCTGTAAGTATTGATTCAAATATGCCGATGATGTAACAAGTAGATGCTAAATAATTTGTTAATTTCAGGGCTGAATGGCACGATGTGTACAGGCAAATTTACTCCAACGACACGGCCCAACAAGTGAAAGCGTACGAAGCGCTTTTAGCATGGAAAGCCAGGTACGCATTATTTAATTCAGTGAAATATTTTTAAGCAACATGGAGAATACTGAAGATTGTTTTTTTAGGATGCCGAAACTACCGGTGGGTGTGGACTGCACCCTGTGGATTTTGCAAGCATGCCTCCGTGATCGTGAATGGACATCCAAGATTGATAGTGGCGAGCTGCCAATGTATTATGAAAACGATTTGAGCTTGATGTACTCGACTACGATTATGAGATTCTTAAATCACATATCTCATATAGGAGCGACAAAGCTGGAATCTCTTTTTAAGATTGCCCAACAGTTGAAAATCCCAAGTTGGATAGTAAATTTAAGGCACGAAGCTGCTCATGGACATGAATTGCCTTCTATTGGATTATTAAGGATAGCAATGAATATATTGCTCCGTTGGTTACACGTATGTTTATTTGTTTAAATATAAAGTGTTCTGTGTATCTACGAAGCTTTGCTTTTACAGGATGAATATTGGGCAGTTGAGGCACGTGCAATGGAAGAATGTTATATCAAAGAAATTAATATGTTAGAAGAGAAAGAAGAACTGCAAGAGAACCAAGTCTTTACAGAGTTGATTGAACTTTGGGCAGCTGTTAATTTATATATTGACACTGGTTATGAATTAGTGTCAGATTTACCAGAGGTGCATATACGGTATGTAGGTACTGCAAATTAAATATTTTTATCATAGTTTTTTTTTATGTATTCAATAAGATTTTACATTTGAATTGTTTTCTAATGTCACATTTTATATTTTCAGGGAAACATTGCAAAATTTACGCACGTACGCATTGTCCTACTATAATAGTGAACCTATAAAGGATGATGAGACTGGATCTATAATAGTCAACAAAAAAGTTATAAAACTTGACAAGGAATATGATTTGAAAACTGCTCAATTTTTACTCTTATGTGAGATATGTGAACATTTCACCGAAGACAAATCCTCAATAGAAGTATATAAAAAGAGTGACACAATTTGTAATGTATTATGTAAAAATGAAGTTTTTTTGCCAAATTCAGATGTTCTGCAAATTTTTCAACACAAAGAAGAGAAGAATATTGACTTGAACAGAAAGATTTTGCCACCTAGTATGTTTACATTTTGGAAAGATATTATTTTGCTACTGCATAAAAACGATATGTTAAAGATACTGATGTTCAAGCTGCTTAATATTGTACACGAAGAACGAGAGAGTAAAAAAAGAAGAACTTTTGCTGCTTTATGGATAAGTTCTATTATTTACAGTTTTATTCAATTGGATATAGTTCAAAATATTTCTCATACTGTGGAATATGAGTCAGAGAAATCAGGTAGAAAGCTATCCGCCAAGGATTTAAGTCAGCAGCTCAAAGAGCAAGTGCACTCCAGTTATCCATATTTGCAAGATGTCTTATGGTTGGACTTATCAAGCAACATACCAGACTTTCTTGTTGATATAAATTTGTTATCAAAACTTTTATTACGTGTGAACGAATTCTCCGCAAGACTGATAGAACCAATTTTGAAGTTGGTTGCACCAAGAATAGATGTGCAGACAACAGAACATTTATCAAATCTACTTAATATTTATGTATTCCAAAAGTACACAAGTGGTGATAAAGATAGTAGCAACGATGACAAAGTATTCACTGTTGACGATCTCTATGCAAATCCAATAGGAAGTGAAGTAAAAATACGCACGAAAAAATGTACAATTAAAAAAGACACTGCTTGCTTATTGGCAGATCAAGTAATCCGTAATGTGCATTGGAAGCCAGCACTTGGTATGTTTACAAAGGACTTTTTCTAAAAAAGTATAATAATTTAGAAAATAATATATTATCTGATTTTTCAGACACTCGCCAATGGGGGGAATGCCCTATTGGATTATTGCCATGGCAGATGGATTCATTAAAAACTCTGCAACCGCTGGAAATAAGACCATCTAAACATCCAGTTTCAGACCTCGACTCGCAAATAGTTGCTGGTATTGTAAATCATAAAAACTTGAAAATGCAAAGTTGTATTAGATGGAACCAAATATTGCGAAACCAGGGGAAAATGGAGAGGAGAATAGGGCGAAAACAAAAGATTATCGCAGACGCTATAATGAAAAGAGCGCTGAAGATTTCTAAAAAAAAAAAGTACAAATACACATTATAATAGAATATTACCGGTTTATCACAAATTGCTTACATTTCAACAAATAAATTACATGTAATATACATATGTGTACATGTATTTATAATAAAATTGGTATAAAATAAAAATCTACCCCTTTAAACCACGCGTGTATACATTATAAAAGATAAATACCAAGTTTGCGTAAAAAATCACTATTTTATGATAATATTGTAAAAATTAGAAAGAGTCCTTGCAAATACATGCATCCGAATGCATTTGCATAAATATATTATTAATATAGAGTATAACCACATCTACTCATAAATAATATCATTTATCTATTTCCCTTTTTTTCATTATATATTATTTAAATATATTATATTACACGAGCTATCTTCATATGTAAAAAAGTATTAAGTTCGTTTAGTATCACAACATCCAAGCACCATTGCTTTGAGTTAGATTTAAAAAAAAAATGAAAAAGAAAAAGGAGAGATATTTGAGTTATAAATGTACACTTACATCTAGAAATTTTTTTTCACTATCTACTGTATAAAAGATAAAATTTTTATAAGATTTAAGTATAAATACATCCATATAATGCATGTCTGCTTGCTGTCTTTGGTTCTGTAAGATGTTTTTGAGAGAAATAAAAAACCGTAGTACGCGTTGTCACTTTTGCTCGTCATTTTAGAAAGAAAATTTGATTTGATCGGTGGTCTTCGTTTTTCTTAACACTTCTTGCAAATGCTTGTTGGATTCTAAACCCAAAGTATCCAAGGGTAATCGGGACATTACTGCTATTCTAAAATAATAATATACGAAGAACACGTGAGAGGTGCGGATCAAGGTAGGTGTCAACTGGAATAATGCAGTATCTCATTGATCATTGATATTTACCTTCCACCTGACATATTGTAAAGGAATCTCCAATAAGATGATCTCAAGTTTTGCGGTTCTAGTAAAGCTGCGTTAAAGAGAACGGCCGTGCTAAAACAATACAAGAAGATTACAAACCATTTTATTTCAGGTACTTTCTTATTTTCCACTGCGTCATTCCACAGCAACTGAAACAAAAACATAATAAATGCATTATTATGTATCATGAATATATTGACGACAACAACAACAACAACAACAACAACAACAACAACAACAACAACAATATTATTAATATTATTATTATTATTATTATTATTATTGTTAATATACCTGTAATGCTTTCCACATGAAATATAAAGCTACAGTATTATTGGGATATGCCATAAACGCCATACTCGCGACAAGTCCAGCTGGGACAGCGTAAATGTGCGAATCTTTGTGGAATGCTCTTCTCAACAAACATGACATTAACTGTATATAAAGAGAAAAGCAAACAGTTAGCGATAACTACTTGCTGCAGATATTACCAGTGTATTATTCACATATCATTAAGTATGCGGAACAAGATTATATACCCTATAAAGGCTGACAAATCCACCAAGGAATACAGCCAAATTTAGGTTTCCTCTTTGAAAAATAGCGCTTTTTAACAATTTTGGTTTCTGAAGTAATCTTTTGAATTGAAAGATTAGTTTAAGCGCTATTTGTCCACAAACACCATAACCGAAAATTCTTGCACTATCCTTTTAAATAAGAAAATACAAAGTTAAGTGCATTATCGAAGAAAGTGTTTCGAGAATATTTCGAAATCGTTATTCTTACCGCTAAAATATAGTGCGCACAGCTGTGAGGATGTGGACATGAAGCATGCCTACTCTGTGCTTTCAAGATGTCAATGATATATTTATACGTCTCAAAAGATCTCCATAAAATATTAAATTTACGATTTTGAGAGCTCCTTTGTATATTCCTAATTCTGGCACTGCTAGTTTGGCTAACGTTCTTTGGAGACATTTCCGAATGCAAATTTTTTTTTATAAGATATTCAGTCTCTTCATATCGCCCAACAAGTAACCTGTTTTTCAAACTTATCTATTAAATATGCACTGCGAATGCAGATTGGATATATGTATAAAAATTCAGGTACCTCAATAATTTATATATTTGATCCTGCTTATTTTCCTTTGAACGGAAAAAGTACAGTAACAGAGTTATGCTTACAGCAAAAATATAAATTTCTCCTTTTGGAATAGGTGAAAAGTATCCCCGCCACACACCCATCCTGAACAACGTTTCTGTCGCCTGAAGTGATGAATAAGTGATGATGAAAATGCTTGTTTACGAGTAAACTTTTGCAACATTTCTACTTACAATGTTAGATACATAAAGACACAATAATGGTCGTCTAGAGGATCTTTCTATCACAATGGCAGATAAGCTAGATAAAAAGGACGGAAGAAAAGCTACAGTTGGCACATAAAAACGTCCAAGTATTTTCCTGAAATATAATTATCATATTTAAATAAAAGTCTCTTAGATATTCTGAAGATTTCTCACCTTAATAAACAAACAAACAACGCGTAAGAAGAACCACTCCATGAAAGAAACGCTGTAGATTGAAGAATACCCAATACAGTTCTCTTAATATCTTCCTTTGATGGTATTTTTCTTTTCATTAAAAATGCAATCTGAAAATGTAAGAATAAAAGTCAGCATAGAGAAAGGAAATATTTTATAATTGGAACGTTAAACTAAAAATATTTGCACTTTATTATAAATTGTGCTTTGTAATAAAAAATTGCAAAAAGTTCCTCTTATTGTTAATTTTAAAGTCTCTATAGAGTTTTATTCTTCTGAAGATGTTTAATTAACCTATTCTGCAAACTCTAATTTTGTCACAAAAAGATTAGATTTACGAAATCTGTAAATCGTAGTTAATTATTGCGCCAATTAAAATTTAAGTAAAAGTTTTATTAAAATCTTGTTAATTATATGCGCGTTATCAGACATTGTTGATTTCCATTTGTGTTGATAAATAAACCGCATTTTGCGAAAGAATTTGTTAATTTAAACGTGCTTGCGTTCTCAAAGCGTTACAATTAAGATCTTAATTCCAAATTAAAAATTAGTTGTAGAAAGATAAAACGTGTATTTCATATATACCGATGTACAGAAATTAAGTACAGAATAAAAAGACAACAGTTATTCTCGCTTCGTATATACACATCTAACATTTATTAAATATGACCAGTTAATTCTGCTAATTTTTTGTCCGACATAAATTTGTCCAATATATATCGAATATTCATAATGCGTTTGAAACATCATATTAAACTGTAACAGCTGGTATAATGTTTAAATACCAAGCGTCAGTGTAAGACGCGTAACAAATGCATTCGTGGTGCATCTGTACTCATTATGCGATCGAATGTTCGCATGCGACTCTACCATACGCCTCGCGCTAAGTGCAAGCGCACTGACACCATGGGTGCATTTGCCTTTAAAAAGTACCACTGTACTGAACACACACTGAATACTACTGACTCAAAAGAGACAGATATCAATTTTGGCGACATAAGAAAATTGCACCTGCTGTGATCTCGGACAATAGTGAAATCATGAATATTTCGATAAAAGAAAAAAAAGAAAAAAAGAGAAATAAATAACGAGTGGCACGTACTATGTAAACAGTTGCATATATCTTGAAGGATTCCTGCAAAGTGTGCAAACCGAGACCAGTAATTGCGTTGACGCAAGAGTCCGTCCATGGATGAGCGTATTCCATGCAGGATGCGTCGAGCGAAAATTTGCTGAGTTGTGCAGGCATTGTCACTAGCGAACGATAGCAATAACAACAATAACAATAATCACGACACGTGATGTCACAGTGGTTGGCACTACAATCAGGTGCACATTAAAAAATCGTGTGTCCTCGTTACGTCTACCCACACGTGTATCCTAGTTCAACTCGGAAAATCGGATGTGACACAAAGCTTTGACAATGATTTGTATGTTATTGCTCCGTCGATGTACAGCTCCAAGCTCACGCCGACCCAATCCGATTCAGAGGCTATCGGCGACTGAGCGGCGAAAAGAGAAAGAGCGCTGAGCGCGCAATCTGGCGCGATCCGAGGTTCTCGGCCTGTTGACTTGCTCTGCAGCCTCTGACGTCTGGCAAATGAAACGCGCCGGCGCATCATGGAATCACGCAAAATGATCGTAAACAATGTCTATTCACTTTTGTAAGTGAAAAGAATGTAGAAATTTTATCTGAAAATTAATAAAAACTTGTTATTAATTGCTATTTATTTATTAAACTTTAATTTATTAATTTTTGTGTAAAACATTTATTAAATATTTAATATATTAACTCATATTTTATCTGAATGTAAATGATTAAACTCTTGAGGGTAAAGGTAGCATGATAAGCATAAATCTACATTTTATAACATTGCATTTTTTTTTATCTGAATGTAAATGATTAAACTCTTGAGAGTAAAGGTAGCATGATAAGCATAAATCTACATTTTATGACTGCATTTTTTTTATGACATTGCATTTCGTCACCAACCATTCTTTATATTTCATTCAATTTATTTGATTTTTAAATACGTGATACACACGAGTAGAAGTTGTAAAAAATAATTTCGAATCTTAAGACATTCCATCTTAATAACGAGATAGACGATAAATATTTAATAAAATCTATATTTATGCCTTATTGCTAATAAATTATCTTAATTATAAAGAATCTAATCTATTTTGACCAGTCGAATATCTTTTATCCGTTTATCTCATAAAATTCTTATGCACGAAATTATATAGATAATACAAAAACAAGTCACTATCGTTGTCATCTCTAAATATATATGCAAGTCAATAAAATACTTTAACAAAAGACCAAGGCGGTTAGATGATACATTGATATATCAAATGTGTTATCAATTAGAACATTATTAAAGCGTAAATTACAATATGTCTGTATACATATATATATAAAATCTAAGTACAGCTTTTGTGTGCGATCATATGTGATTTTTTTTTAGATTTTGTCGTGTCCTAATCTTGTATTAGTGTACTTGTTTTTATCTCAATATGTGATACTAATCGATAAGGATGTTTGTAGATATGTAATGTGCTAGCACGAGAGTTTTCTTCACTGCAAGAAGTGCTTTTCAAGGTGAGCAAATAGCGTTCACCGTTAGAAAGTGAGCCTATTTATTCCTCGCGAAATAACACGACGTGTATATATATATATATATATATATATATTATCATATATTAACATATATATATATGTTAATTCTTCAAAAATATATCTTGAAAACAAGAATTATGTTGAATTATGTTAATCTTATAATTTTTATGCAATTTCTTATTTTCTTGTAAATAATCATATTTAGTTCTAAGCTGTAGCTTGTTTGTTTTATGAATGGAACTGCGAGTAACTTATGCATTTGATGTAATATTTGCACACGGTAAGTAATGGAAGATTTTGACGGAAAGATAAAAGTAAGTTCCTCCGAATCTGAGCCGGATTAGTCACTCTTTTTCGAAGGTTTAAGTATTGGACTGCGCGGTGGGGAGAAATCTTTGTTTATTTGAATCTTGATTGGGGATACGGATAGGTAGTTTTCCACAACAGATAGGCTGTAATACGCTAAAATATATAAAGATGCCAAGCATTTAGTGTGCGTAGTAAGAAAATCATTAACAGAAAGGCATCATCGTACATTGCTTCGATTACAATCTACGCGTTTCACTCTTGCGAGCAACGTCTACTTGCATCGGCTTTTTGTCTATATCTACGGTTTTTTTTCCTTTTTATTCAATGTGTGTAAGTGTGTAAGTTTCAGTCTTGCATTTCTTAACGTATTACCTGTTATACCAAGTCCCGGTTTAATTGGTCCATTACGCTACTCGCTTCGCCGTAAGATGTAATTGAGAATATCCGAATGCAACCTACTGCAGTGTTACGGTCAAACCATACCTCGCTGAATACAAAGTTTTATTCTGCAATGTCATAAAAATGTGTATTAGTATTAAAAAATTAGTAGTATAAATTATATAATAAAAATGATATTACTGAAATACTTTTAGATAAAAAAAAAAAAATTAGAGACATTAAGAGAAATTATATTTAGAGTATTCAAATAGATTAAATATTAGAACACATTTATATTTTGTAATAATAATTAAAGAAATATAATAAAAATAAAATTCACTTTTTATTAATATTGTCATCATTGCAAATGAAAGAAATGGATATCATTTTGAATAATGTGACTCAGCACGTATTAAATAATGTTGCGTTGAATATTCACGAGACTGAATTTTTTCCAGAACACATACATTCACACACACAGCTCTTGATCGTTCGAAGAAACTGGCACATTAACAAAAAAGGTTTCCTGAAGGTCTTCATTACTTATATATGCACACCTATGCAATTGGAAGTGCAAATCCAATTCATTCACGTCACGTTAACTGCAAAACAATCATAAAAATGACTGTTGGTTTGAGAACAATGGGCTTTGTAAAATTAAATCGCCGAGCTAGGCGAAGTTTAAACGTACGCAAGTATGGTGAGTAATGTCTAATAAATATCACTATGGTAGCAATTAAATCATTCTATTCAATATTGATGGCATTCCATGTCCTTCGTCACATTATTAATTACATAATTAAAAAGTGATTAAAGAAATTAAATTAATTTTTACTATCTCATATTCTTCTTACCATTTAATTATTTTAAATTCGAAAAAATGTTTATTTGAATGTATTTTACATGTAAGAGCAAAATAAAAATTGCAATAAAGTAAATACATTGATTTGTAATGTTATGATTCTAAAACCACTGTAATGATTTATTTCAACGTGTGTTACTGTAGCTAACGAGAATAAGACCGCAGGCGGTGTTTTTAGTTGTCCGCGTCAAATGTTCGTGAATATACTTGAGGTCGTTGCAAAGATGATTTCAATTTTGTTTATTATCAATTAAACATTCGCCAGAATCAAAACCAACGGATTAGGCAGTCGAGAAAGAGATCGATGACGCAAACGATTGTGCATTTTTCAAGCTAGATATACGCATAATATGAGGTTACTGTTATCTAAGATTACACAAAAATAGAGATTGTTGCCATAAAAAGTAACGCGCGAAAGAGACAGCAAGAGACACGAGAGCACGAGATGTAAATATTGTTTTCATGACGAGAGCGATCTCGACCGCGTAAAAATTATAAGCTTCAGTCGTCGTCTTATCGCACTCGTATCAGCATCCTAAAGCTGCATTGCAATACACTGCTATAGTGCTAAAGTGCTGTGCTTCATCGAAACAAACGAAAGCAGAGTGACTCAGGTAGTTGAGTACGGCGGAATAAACGAGTCGTTCGATTATCGCGTTTTACAAGATAATCCGCGCGATTAACTAACATAAGTCGCGCGTAATCTTTCCCTTTAGCCTGTTGACCCTTTCGCTCAACTGTCTGCGCATCGCAGAATCATTTTTTTCATCTCTCTCTCTCTCTATCTTGTAGTGAGCGATAATCTTCTCGCGGACAGTGAGGTGAAAAAACCGAGGATATCGTTGAATATTGATACCAACATGTTGAAAATCGGTTTTCTCGGTGGAGGAAAAATGGCCCAAGCGCTCGCGAAAGGCTTCGTACGAACGGGTAAGTAGCTTCTAGTGTCTTTTAATGATGTGTCTATCGATTATTGATATTCAAATATTTAAATAGATATACTTATATTTAACATCTTTCTAACTCGTTTTTCACTTCACATAGGTTTAAGCAAAGGCGAGATGATATTAGCCAGTTGTCTTCCAAACGACAATGGAAGCATCGAGACATTTAAGGTAAAATTAATCTTGTGTGTAAAGTAACGAAGAAGAGTCTACAACGTAGATACAACGGCTCCTTTTTTTAATTCATATAATGCGTTGCTCGATAACAGTTGATACACGGATGATGTCACATGATAAAACAGAATTATTCCCTGTGATGAATCGACAAATTGTATGAATATAAATTATTCTTGATATCAAGTACTAAGAATACTTAATGAAGAAAAGATATTTATGATTTATAATGCGCAATGCGGTTTCTCCAAAATTTTATTAACTTAATAGATAAACTTGACTAAAAATATGACAATAACATTAGTATTTTGTATTAATTAAGTAGAAAATGTAGTAGAAAAATATATATTATGGAATTTTTATTGGATATTATAGAAAAATAGTAAGAATAGTTGTTTTGCTTCTAATTAATCAAATTTCTTGAGTGGTCAATTTCTAAACGCGTTCACTAAACCATTGCAATAAGATAAATGTAATTTACGATAGCCACTGCGTACCTACTGCATATTTATCGTCATTTGTCGGTTGCGCGAAATATATTTTATAAACTTGTAAACAACATGTGTATTTATATATATCTTTTTCTTACATATATGACTTTCAAATACAACAAGCATGTGCAAAAGATCATATAAATATCAGCTCTGCCTAAATAAGAAAATATTTAACCGAAGTAACTATAGGATGAACTATTTTCAACATCGGTTAACTTTAACCGACAATTTAAACTTGGCGACAGAATTGCTATTCATATTAGCAATTTTCGTCAGTTAAAGTTAATCGACGTTGGAAATAGTCACCCATAGTAGACAGTAAGAAATAATAATCTATTAAATTTCCATGAAAAACATTTCAGTTTTTAGATAATAAATATTGTGTTATGTCTCAAATGTGTTATTCAATGTATTAAATGCGACTTTAATTAATTAATATTTTAGGAAATGGGATCAAATACCGTTTTTACCAATGTTCCTGTCATCGATCATGGTGATGTGTTGATCCTATCGGTAAAACCGCAAGTTGTACCGAAGATTCTGCCAGAATTGAGGTTACACAACAAGAAAAAATTACTCATCTCCATCGCTATGGGTATCTCCTTGGCGTCAATAGAAAGGGTATATATGTAACAAAACTTTAAACAAAAATCTGTTAACACCACATCATTTACTGCGTAAAGTATTCAAAGACAAGACACACCTTCACATTTTGAAAAATATTTTCAGGCACTGGAAGGAACGCCCATAATAAGGGTAATGCCGAATACACCGGCGTTAGTGGGTTGCGGTGCTACGGTGTTTGCACGTGGAAAGCACGCGAGTGACAAGGATGCCGAGATCACGGAGAAATTATTTTCCGCCGTAGGAATTTGCGAAGAAGTCTCGGAAAATCTCATCGACCCCGTCACCGCCTTGGCCGCTTCTGGTCCTGCCTATGTCAGTAAGCTTTTCAATTATTTTAATCCATTACGAACACAATCTTGTTAAAATTTTACACAAAAAGTAATTTATTACAAGAAAATTATTAATGAGAAATTAAATCCAAAAAAAAAGAACGGAAAACAAAAACAATATTTTTATGATTTTATAAGTTTTTTTTATCACTACCTACGATTTATGCATATTATTAGTGTTTATGTATTTTTGGATATAAAAATTTCTTTTAGGTATACATGATGATCGAAGCAATGGCTGATGGTGGAGTAAAAATGGGACTTACTAGGCCTATCGCGTATAAGCTCGCCGCACAAACTGTTTTAGGCGCCGGTACCATGGTTCGTGAAACAAATATGCATCCGGGACAACTTAAGGACGACGTGACTTCACCGGCAGGTCAGAATTTATATATAACAATATAACTCCCATTTCCTTTCAATCCATGTACATCTTTCTTTCAACTTTCTTACAGGATGCACCATAACTGGAATTCACCAATTAGAAAAACGTGGTTTAAGATCAGCCTTAATTGATGCAATAGAAGCGGCAACGCTTCGATGTAAAGAAGTTAGTTCACAGACAGAAAAAAATTAATTGCAACAAAGATTTTTATGACATACTTGTACATCAATGCGCATTTGGAAGAGTAATAGTGGCTATAGAAAGAATGAAATAATGCAGGATAAAGAATTATTTTAAAAAGTAAATCTTTTTTAGGATAGATTTTGTATTATTAAGAGAAGGCATTTTTACTATATTAACAGATATTGTAGATAATAAGTTTCCATGAATTACGACAATCTTATTAATCATGATCAGGGCTGGGCAAACATATTTGAAATACAAAATACAAAAACTAACAATTTTAGTATTTATTGCAAAATATCTTCAATTTTTTTATTTAAAATTTTTGTATCTTAAATCGAAAATTAAAAATTAAAAGTATTTTGTATTTTATAATTTAAATACCAAGATTGTGTTAGCATTGTACATTTTGTATTTCAAATATTTTATTGTATTTGAAATACAATTTGTAATACATTTTGTCCAGCCCTGATCATGATGATAATTAGTGAAGTTTTGTAGTAATATAAAATATCGACAAATATTGTTACTGATTATTGATGTACAGTAACTGTGTGTATAAAAGATTACTGTTGGTCTCTCTAAAATTTATGGATTAGTTTAAAATTTATAGAAAATAGTTTCGCGAACAATTGTTTTATATATTGACTATTTAATCATTTTAAATTTAGTTTATCTTAAGGTAAAATTCAGAAATCTTTTTAAAAAAACTAGATCTGGTATTAAAATTATGGTAATATATATAACATAATGAATTTATCGACTCGACTACAGTTTTAAATATAATAGTATGCAAATAATGTGCAAACAGTATGTAAAACAGTAGCATATACTTGTACAAACTTTTGCAGAACTTGTGTAACAATTTATATAACATGTAAAAAACAGCTAAACCAGCTTTCATCGACTAACAGTTTTTATAAACTAACTGAACTATAAATAATTATGCATCTAAAAGCATAAGACAGAAAATTTGAAAAGAATCTAGAAAGATTTGTATCTAGAAAGATTTGTACATTTTTAATATAAGAAATATTTTTCTAATATTAAAAAAATAATTTTTTTTTATATAAAGGAAATAATTTTTAATTGTATATGTCTTGTTAATATATTACTTGTGAAAAATATTTGATCATGCATATTACGTATACTACATACTTATGTGTTATATTATTCAAACTGTGATGTTCTGCGTATGTTTAACGTTAATGAAATTGAAATTTACTATGTAGAAAAGCATATTTCAATGTATATATTTCATACGTATGTACATTACTGAGTCATTTAATTGTTATTTTATCACTTAATGCAAAATAAAGAGAGTAAAACAAATAAATATCAATAAATTTTGAGCTAACCTGTATTTTTTTCCATAATCGGACAACTAATCTGTACTATTCTTGTACTATTTGTCTCGACATATCAATGTTTAGTTCAACAATATCAATGTTTGATAGCAATTTCTTTTCCTTGCTTTGTACACGTTTAAATCCAAGATTGAACTCCGTTTTAAACATTTCTCTATAGTAACTCTCTTTCACTATATCATTTTCAGAAACACCCTCCTGTTTGCACTTCAACACATAGGATTTATGCATTGCTGCAATACTTAAACTTGAATCCAGGTACTGTCTACCACTGCAATCTTTAAGATCCGTTGATTTCTCCGTTGGAAATGACTTAATGTGTTCGCGCACTCGATCTTTTACATCCTCACTTTTTTTAGTTTTTGGTGTATGTCTGCCTCTTTGGTCTGGACCGATGATCCCACCTGGCGATATTCGTTTCTTCTCCATTACGTGTCGCACAAATTTCTCCGACACAGCAAATGTGCTAAGAAACATAGACTTGCAGACAGTGATAAATTTGCCCTTCAACATTAGGGAATAAGTAAAGGTCACTTGCCGACGTCTTGAAGAATGCTCAGACTGAACATTGCGCAAACGAGTACGCTGTTTCGGGGACTCTTTGACAGAGAGTGCAATATACTGCTTTCGCTGTTGCCATGTATATGTTTTCCAAAAGACCTTGTGCAACTCTTCACGTTCCTTTTCATCTATTTTATTTGTGCATTGCATACGACAGACACAAGGACGACCCATCTTCTTAGCTGCCACTATCTTGCCTATACAAAGGAAAAAATATGCATTATTATATACTACTTATTATACTAAATTATATTTAACTGCGCATTTATTATTTCTGCAATTACCTCCAACACCGATGTATTCTTCCCCTTTTAATCTAGCATTTTTCTTTACATTTACTTTCCAGTTTTCAGGATGCTTTGTACGTTTTATAGATTCTTGATGTTTCCTTAATGATTTTGCTTTCTTTCCTTGTTTAAATTTAATCAAACTTTTTTCAGAGTCTTCACTATTTACTGAAAATGGATCTTGCGATATATCTGATGACTGTGAATCTGTAGTGTGTTCTGCAATAATATGCAATTTGCAATTTTATTGCAATAAAATTATATATTAATTTTAAAAGTTAGTTATATTATTTTAAAAATATTGAATATATTATTTTATAATAATATATGTTGACAATATTATTTAGTATACAAATATTTTCTAAAATAAAATAGCAAAAAGAAGATACATACCTATTAATGAATAAGTTTCCACAAATATTTTTTCAGATTCTGATGTTAATCTTATATTATCAGAAGATACATCTTTCCACCACTTTGTATTTGTTGATAATTCATTTATATCATCTGTTAATACTGAACAAACAACACAGAGATTATATAGCAAATATCTTAGCAAAGATAAATATATTAAAAATGAATTCAAGTTTACCCATGTTATTATCACATTTATAATAGAAGATTGGGTTTTGTGACTGCTGTTGATGATTCGTGTCTAAGAACCACGATTCTTCTTTCTTCATATTTTTCTCTTGATTCAATAAGTTCACTTCTGATGTGTTCTGCTCCATTTCACACAGTTTGCATTTTCTAGAATTCAGCGATCATGCTACAAAACTTTGACATGTAGTTTAAATTTTTTTATCACAATTGGTATAAGTAAACAATCAAAGACGTTAGAATATTCGGAATGATAATGGGCAAAAACTGGATTATCAAAGAGGTTAGATTTAAAAAAGATTTTCATGCATAGTGAAGAAAAAGATTCAAGTATTTATCGTCACAAAAACGTCATAGTTGTTTTTTTATATAGTATAATATTAATTCGAGATAAATATCAAATGCGTTCTGATAAAGGAAATATTTATGGATTGTTACACGATAATACGAGATCGTTATAGAACATATACATATATATATGTATATTTTGTTACGTGTACACACTGTCGCCGATAAAGTAATTTTTCTTTCTACGTTTGAATATTTTAGTATTATTTTCAATATTGGAAATTATATTAAATAATATATTGCAATTATTTTATTAACTTGACTTTTTCCAAAATGTATACTATTAAATATTACATATAAAATATTATGAATTTTATTTCCACACAAATTGATTATTGTGATTGGTTCCTCGCTTCGAGCTTTCGATTTTCGAGAATCGTAATCACTTTGATATCGTTTGAATTTCTTAAGGTATTTCTAGACCAATTTGTATAAGTGCATAAGCAAAATTTGTCTAAATATACCTTTAGGTACAAAAAGTACTAAAAGTGCAATTAAATCGATTAGATTCTATATCGCAATGTGATTGGTCCATTTTTGCACTATTTCGAGAATCGCAATTGACTCTTCGATAGTAACCAACAGTGATATAGCATTTGTAGACAGCGGTTTACGGCTCCGTGCGTGTGTGTGGACCACTGGCAGTCATACGATATTGTAGACAGTCATGTACATACATGATTCTTGATTGTGTGTGCGTTCGATGGCTTGTTGCTCGGGTCTTCAATCTGGCAGCACTGAATTACTAGTAGCCAGTTTGCAACGAGCCATGGCGGCTGATGGAGTCATGTTCGAATCGTTCCTTACTTTTACACGATTATTACTCTGTGAAAGTGAATTTTACGCGATAACCGCGAATGTATCTCAAAAAGTATCGGACATTTGTTGTAATACGTTAAACATCGGGAACAATTATCAGTGTACGCGAATATCGCGATTCCGCGTTTATGTGTTTAAAATTGACCAAAATTCGTAGACATATTGCATCCCGCGTCGGATCGTGGAGTTACATTCAATCCGTTTTGCAGTTTACTGTAAGTGTCTCATAAAGCGAATATTCATCGTAATTTATTAAGCATCGCGCGCAATTATTATAGTACGCCAATGTCGCGATTTCGATGTTTGCATTTGTGTGGAATCGGTCAAAATCTGTCGTCCATATTTTACATAATATTCGCCGCACTACATAGAAGTTTGTAGAGCTGAAGGATAGATGTCGTTGTAAGTATCTTAACAAAATCGCCGGGGCCTACGTGACCAGGCGGTCCGCCATTTTGCGCGTTTATCTAAAGTTTATTGTGACGATGTATGCGCGAGTTTTGACATGACGTTTGATATGCGTGAACGAGATTGTACAGCGAGATTTTCGCAGGTGTCCGGAAGAAGTGAAACAACCCGAAAACTTAGCCACAAAGGATTTGCTCATCTTCGGTGACGAGCAGGACGGAGACGACAATTGACATTGGGCAAGGCATCTTCGGTGAGTCACTTTGTATTACCTAACCTAACTACCTTGCTCGCGAAGTGCACGTCTGATTGTGAGAACCTTGCATCTTTTATATTATTTTTAAATCTTTTCTCTTAACGATATTGAAATGAAACAAAAACAAAAACAAATTGGATTGACTTACCGGCACGGTGCGCAGCAGTGCAGTTGTTCACAAGTTTTGTGTGGTGTGTGATCTGTAGCAAACAAAGTATATACAAATTGTAACAGCGTTTAAATCAATTATTTAAGAAATAATCATTAGGTATTAAACTATGCAAGGTGTCTCACAATCAGACGTATCGGGCTGCTAACCGGCTGTAACCTTCGATAGTTCAGTTGGTAGAGCGGTGGATTGTAGTTGGTTTAGACATTTATAGGTCGCTTGTTGAAATCTCGCATTTAATCCTTTTATCCGTGATAAATGCTGAAATGATATTAATATACGATTGGGGGTAACCATGTTAAACGAAAAGAGAAATTACGTTAATATCGGAGTTCCATGTCTGCTGATATCGCGTATGTGGTTTGTGGTAATTTTCGATATATATATTTACGATGTACATTGTTTCGCAATCTGCGAAAGCGAGAGAAATATATATTTCTGTTTTGTATCGGACCGCTAACAACATAACCAATCTGATGTGCGAATTCGAAGGAATTTTTTTCATTGCTACTTGAATCACAATCTCATTTTATTCTGCCTTTTTTTTGATAAATAAAATGTATTTCTTAATATTAATGCCTGCACTTTTTTGGTAGGAAAAGTTGAATTTTAGATTGAATAACTTATTTTTGGATAAAAATTTCTTACCAAAATTTATGTTAAATACAGATTTTGGTTACACGTAATTTTCTGTTAATTTTTATCTTTTACATGCACAAACATCCAAGTGCAGAAAAGGCTATAAAACGCGTGTGATATTTAGGACTTCTCGTTAATCAAAAAAGAATACTTGTGTAATACGTTATAGGGATACTTGTATAATGTATTGCCGACGTAAATTAAGCGAAAAGAGAAATTACATTATTATAGGTCTATGCTGCTGATAGCAACGATATTGCGTATATTATCTGTGTCATTTAAATAAGAGATTGAAGTTTTAACGATTCTTTCTGAAGGTTGAACTGGCTATCAATCGCACAACCTTCGATAGCTCAGTTGGTAGAGCGGTGGACTGTAGTTGGTTGAATAGCAGAAGCCATCCATAGGTCGCTGGTTCAAATCCGGCTCGAAGGAATTTTTTTTTTTTTATTAGATCATAATCTCATTTTATTCTGCTTTTTCTTACAGATAAAATATATTTCTTAATATTAATGCCTGCACATTTTTAGTAGGAAAAGTTAAATTTTAGATTGAATAAGTCATTTTTGAATAAAAATTTTTTACCGAAAATTATGTCAAATACAGATTTTAATTACATGTAATTTTTTATTAATTTTTAGCTTTTACATGTACAAACACCCAAGTGCAAAAAGGCTGTATTCTAGCCCAATGTGTTCCAGTATAATAACAATAATATAAGTAAATACATTTTACATTTTGTACAAAGTAAACATTATTTTAATTTAATATTTTTGAAAATAATTAATTTAATTTATGAATAAGTTGGCGGTTTATGAAAAACGCGCGTGATATTTAGGCTAGATGTTATATTTAGGATAATGTAATATCTAGCAATTATATTGTCCGTGATAAATGCTGAGTGTCACAAAACAAGCAAAATACATTTCGGAAAAGCATGGTATAATTTAATTAACTGTGTTGCACGTGGAGACTTTTCTATCATATATTTCCTATTAAGGAATATATATTTTTCTCGCTTTAACGCTTTCGTAGATTGCGAAACAATGTACATCGTAAATATATATCGAAAATTGCAACAAACCACATAAAATACCGCATTCCTTAAATAAATCGCTTCTGCTCTCCACCGCAATCTATCAGTGCGCGTCAGCCGTCGCACCTTCGCGCGTTGGATAATTTATTGCAGTGTGTGTATCGGACCGCCAACAATATAACCAATCTGATGCGCGGCAGAATGCAGTGGCCGAAGCGCCAATAAATATGGATGGAGTAGTAATAAATTATGGCTGGAAAAGACGATTAGGACGCAGCTATAAATTACCATAGATATATCGCAAGCGCGCGCCATATACGACTGTACCTTATGGCCCTTCCCACCATACGTCCGATAATATGGATATTTTTCGGCCTTTAATCCGTTTACGCGCGAATATTCATAGTCGCGCGTTCGTTTTTAGCTCGTTTGTTTAGATTACGATGCCCTTCGTGCCTGAGCGCGATATCGTTGCTATCAGCAGACATGGAACTCTGATGATAACGTAATTTCTCTTTTCGCTTAATTTACGTCGGCAATACGTTGCATAAGTATCCCTATAACGCGTTAAATAAGTATTTTTTTTTAATTAACGAGAAGCCCTAAATATAATACAATAAATATAAATTTTTTATAATTTTTTTTACATATATTCTATTGTATTGTACATACATACAATTTCAATAAAGCGCATCAAATGATAAAGATAAATTGTTGATTGAAGATGAATACTACGACTAATTTGACATGAAATGTTAGTAATTGTCAACAAAATTACATTCACAAATTTTAATAATATTCGGTTCGTTTGCTTGATTTGATTACATCCGACAATATTCCTTTACCGATAGTTGAGCGTAAATTAAACGTTGCGCTTATAATACGCCTGTCTGTAGTATCAAAGTGGCGCGCATGCGACATATGCATACTGTAATAAACATAACAAGCGCGCATAATCACAAACAGCAACGATTTGGTTTATACCGTTCATGATTCTGCCAGCATCTCGCATACATTATCATTATTACGTGGCTGACGTTTAGCATTGATGATAATGCGATGATACCCCTCGGTGATGTGTCGTAATCCCTGCTGAAAAAATTATCAATATATTTAAATATTTATAAATTGGAATATTTACTAATAAACATTGATTGACTGTTTGCACCGGTTTGCTCGGTAATTTAATTTTTACACATTTAAAATATCGCTGTAGAATAATTTTACTTTTTATCACTGGCATAATTGTTAAATATACAATAAATTTCTGACGTAGAACAATTTTCGTTGAGAACAAAACTATTAAATATTTGTTATATTTATAGCTGCAAATGACGTATATCGTGAAAAATATTAATGTAGTTTCTTTGTGAAGGTATATAGTAATCATTTAACAGTTCTGTCTACAGAAGATATAAAAATTGCATCAAGTCATATTATTGGGATCCATTCTGTCCAAGTTATATTTTTCTTCTAGTCGAAGTAAACGAGTTTTTCTAGTAAGAACTATTGCACAATTCTAGTAAGCACAATTGAGAGCTCAACATTGACGCGATGAATAATTAAACAGCTTGCCCACATGAAAAATACACGAATAGTCGATTAAAATTCGCGAGCGCGCGCGACCCTGTCTATTCTTTGACGCGACGAAACAAGGGGTCGAATTTACGAGTTGTGAGAACGAGCCGTGCCGCCGATAGATGTGCACGCACGAGATATTACGTTCCTGTTCAGTGGCATAGCGTGTAATCGGCCGTTAAATTCGCCCGGTGTCGGCATGAACGACACACAAAATGATTCAATTAGTGCGTTCTGCTTCCGGCCGGCGCAACGCGGCGCGTCATCGCGTGCGGCATCGATACTCTCGTCCGGTCACTTCCGGCGATTCGCGCCAGTTCGCTTCTCTTCCAATTTCACGTTTTCACAAAGAGACACGTACGTATGCTCATTTATTGTTATTCAAATGACGAAAAGCTGCGCCCAGAATAATTTGATCGGCGCGACCGAAATTCCGGTTCGCCAAATGTTTGACGGACGGGCGCGCATACGTTTAACGTGCCTGCGAAGAATGGCCGATGATCGGACGTTAATATCGCGAGTGTTATTATTGTGGAATCGCAGTGCGTTAATGAGCGGTTTGCGTATTGTTTTCGGATAACCACCACGAATATAATTACGATTCTGATTTTCTTTGTAGTGGTTCGAATATTGATTTATTTAAACATCAAATTTGGAGAAAAATGGGAAAAAATAATTTTTTTAACTGTAGAAACTTTTTAAAATAAATGTATTTAAAACAAGCATATATTTTCATAGGGAATGTTGAAATAAAAGCTGTAATTTTCCGCGATTCAAAGTATCAGATTGTATAATCGGTTTTGTGGTAGATCTGGTCTCATTGCAGGACAATGTAATCATCGCTGAAAGGTATCATTTATACGTGAAGATCCGCGGTTTGGGCTTCATCGTCAGTCGTACATGAATTATTAATGACGGGTTTGCATAGGGAATTCCCACGGGGCGGAAAGAGACGCGTGTGTCGCCGAAACTCCACTCCGAGTTGCTTTATTAGTTGCCGCTATTGAAAGGCATGGTCTTCTCGTGTTGTGTCTCTATTATGCACTATACCGAGTAATATTGTGTTTGTGAATGTCGAAGAAATCGAGAAAAGATTTCATTGTATTAATTAATATAAAATAGATCCACTAAAATTTATTTTTTTTTGTCTTTGAAATATATTAATTTAATTTTTTTTATACTAGCTACGGCACGGATTTCATTTATCACACCGCCACATATATATAATTGTGAAATAAATCGTGCTACGTCCAGCAAGGAAGTTAAAAAATAAGTAAAAAGTACACAAATAAATTTGATCGATCGTGATTTTTAACGAAAATAATTTTCAACTACCATTTCGGTGAAACACGAACGAGATTGACAAAATTCTCACAGTAAATGACGTTGATGGCTGTTATTGCTAAATATAAATCACGCGAGAAATGAGTGGACGTGTTTTATCGAATTTTCATAAGATATATTAAGGCTGAATTTGCATTCTTAAAAATTGAATCATTTTATATAAGTACGTTTGTTTGTGAGCGTACCAGACGAAGATATAAATACGTAAATCTGTAGGTTACGGCCTCGACTTACAATTCACCACCAGGATTAACATATTATCTCTCGTCTCAAAGGGCTTTTCATGTCATTAGGTAAGGCGGATCTGCAATAACAATGATTGTTGTGCTTGAGGGGTTCGCCGCAGGCTACGCGCCTGCTTCTCCGCAATTTCGCCTTTGGAGCTGATGCATAATGTATGG